AAATGCATGAGTCATGTGTAGTCCTACTTGTATCTTGGTGTACTTTGTGTATTTCTTCCAGATCTGTGCAGTAATCCAGCATTTACCTCTGTGCAGGAACGTCCTGTAATAAAGACCGGTCACTGCTGCTTTCTCTATTTGGGCAGGGTGACTGATCCCTTCGTTTTCCACAGGTAGCCTAGGGAGGATGCACCTGCTGGACCCATCCCACAACTTTGTATATCACAGTGAGGGGTGGCAAAGGCATTTGGTGCACACAAAACACATTTGCATCTTTAGTAGCCTGCAAGAGTGGACACTAGTAACAATAAGGGCTGCAGGATCAGATGTATGAGAGGAAAACAGAGGATTCCATTGCTGACCATTTTCTTAATTGTTTGTTGGCTGGCTGGCTGTCATGCTGCCATTTTCCTATGGGGATAGCTCAGCTAGGCAGAAGAAGCAGTAGATGAAGATTTAAAGAACATCTAACCTCCCCCCCCCCCCAGGCACTCTAGCTGTGGTGAAACTACAAATCCCATGCTCTTTTGCAAGACTGACAGCCTGTTAGTCTTGCAATATCTGCCTCATGGGACTTGTAGTTCTATAACATTTGGAGTGCCAAGGTTGCCTACCCCTGTATTACAGCTTACCAGTCCTTAGATGTGGTGACTACATTCGGTTTTTTGATAGGCTTTTTTTTTTCTTCATTTTCCTTTTTCTTGTGTGATCCCCACTCATGTTTCTGTATCAGAACAACAGAAATAAGATAGGGAGAGATATGGGACCCCTACTCCTCTCCTATTGTCTATAACATGCATGGGTGTGGTTCTGTAGTCCTCATTGAACAATGAGACTGATATCACTCTGCACAGGCAGAGATCACAGGAATATATCCCTTCACAAGATATCAAAAAAAATAATATGAACAGAGATATTGTTGGTATCACGCAGATATAACAAAACACATTCAATGGTATATTTAATAGACCAATAAGGAGCAAATAAAAAGAAGTCCATTGTTAGGGACTACATACTGTACACTTTAAATGTTGCCGTGCCCCCAAACAATATGCAGGGCAGATTATTGGGCACAGACACAGGGTTATTCTATGAAACAGAATGTTATAGAGAACACATACTTTGCACCCACCTGTCCGGACTTCCCAGTATGCTTTCTATTGTAGAACAAGGGACCGAGCTGTGTCAGCCACTCTCACAAGACTGTGTCCACCTGGAATCTCATGTAAACTTACTGGGCTCATTCGTCAAAAAGAAATAACTCTGTTTCAAACATGCTCTGCAGGAACCGTAAAGTCGGAATCCTATGGCTGTTTTGGGGCAATTCAGTTTTTTTTTATTTCAGGCACTTTGATAAATTATTTCCATTGCTGTGTAGGCAGATGCAAGATTCCAGACTGATGTATAACTAGAAAAAAAAAATACTACAGATGCTGCAAGGCATACTTATGGTGCAGAGTATTGACAAAACATGTTAGGAGCCTCTATAAAACCAGCAGGGTAGTATAAGAGCTATAGGAAACAAATCAGCATTACAAAAATACATCTGAATAAGGACACTGGTAATGAGGGGCTATAATTCAGTCTATAATAAATACCGAGACAGAAAATTGAGTGTTACAATGCTGCCACCTCGTGGCCATTGAGTAAAATTGCAGGCACATAAGATAATATTGTACATCTGTAGGGCCCATTCCCTGACAATCTTCATTCTGAACAGATGTTAGGCTGCAAAACCCTTTCTTAAGCTGGCCATGTACACTACAATCTGATTGTAAAATCTCCTCTACAGTTGCCAAAACTCTCTAATATAGGGGCCATCCTAAACAGTACATTTAATTTGTAACTAATCAGATAGGTCCCCAAACGACACAGTTGTTGGGAGATCAAAAGCGTATTGTACTCAGATTGTTGATGTGTATGGCCACCCGATTTCCTGCTGTAGGTTATAGCTGTAAATCTGCAGTGTGAGATTATCTAAGGCACAGCTGCCTCTGACCGCTATTCTCGGCAGATTTGGAGTGAGACTCACTGATATTCTTACTGGAGAGGAAGTTGTACTTGAGGACATGCACTGCATGGATCTCACTGCTTCAGCTTAATTCATTCTGCGTATCTGGGTTTCATAAACCTTTCCTGCTGCTTCATGATCATGACTCCATCTGTCTCTATGTCACCAGTCATCAGGGGGCAGCTGTGACAATAAGAAGCAGTTTTGAGTACGGATGCACCGATACCGTTTTTTCGGTATCGAGTACCGATATTTTGCTTTCGGTACTCGCCGATACCGGTGCTTTCTCTGGAATAAAGCCCACTTCCTGGGCAATCAGGAAGCGGCGGGTAATAACATGCCACTCTTCCAGATTGCCCAGGAAGCCGGCCCCATGTTGTTTAGCCGGGAAACTGGCTTCCCAGCCAATCATAGAGCCGGCTTCCCGACCAACCAGGAAGCCAGGTGGCGAGTAATGACCCACCTCCTGATTGGCCGGGAAGCCAGCTTTCCAGCCAATCAAGAAGCCGAGGGTGGGTCATTACTCGCAGCCCAGCTTCCTGATCACACGGAAAGCTGGCTCCACGTTCCCCTACAGCACTGCCGGTCAGAGGAAATCTTCCTCTGGCTGGAAGTTCCGGTGTCTGTGATGGTATCGGAGCATTTGGACATGTACTCGCCATCGGCACCAATACTAGTATCGGTCCATCCCTAATTTTGAGCCTTACCAAGATGGCCACCTTGACACAGATACAGTGCAGAACAAAACGTGGTAAATAAATAATGGGGAAAAGATCAGCAGCAGGGGGACCACGGGTAATACTGGTGGCTAGTGCTTTGTCCTCTGCTTGCCTTTCTTGGGCACAGCTTCTTTAAAAATTACGTAACGGCCTGTTGCCAGAGAACGAGAAGTCTGTAACTGAGAGCTGGCCCTTGGGGCAGTCTTAGGTTATAAAGATGTGTCCATAGAAATGTCATTTTTGTTTTGTACTATAGTAAATCTCCTGATTTTTTTCAATCTAATACACAATAACATCAGTAACAATATACAGGGTTGTCTAAAACATTTAAAAAAAAAACTCAGCACCAAAGTTTCTATTGAACTTGATAAGAAAACATTGGCTCCTTTGTTAGTTAAAATGGAACTGCAGCCACAAGCCGCCTGCTGCCATCCCTCCACATTTTATTGTTCTTTTAACTTTCTGCATGCCTTTCCTGCAGTCCTCAGCCTGGACCGGTGAGGTCATCAATGCTTCCTCTTCCTTCTCAGCAGCGGCGACCGGTGGTCCTTTCTCCTGACCTGAGCAGTACTAACATAATGACTTGTGAGCATCAAACATTCCAGAGGTAATGTGAGCCCAGCCTGCCTGATGACGAGTCGCCAGGGGATGTGTTCCTGACAGCTTTTGCTCCCAGGAAGTAGGCTGAATGACACTGGCTGGCAATAAACCTGGAAGAGACCGGTGCCGCTGATGGCAGGAAAAAGTGGGGGGACAGCAATGGCACATGAATAGTGCTTGGACAATTATTTTTCTGGAGGGAGGGGTTTTTTAACTTCTTGCCGTCCGCCCGTAGTAAAAAAACGGACGGACGGCACTGCTACATCTGCGGGTTGCCGTCTCCAGACGGCCATTTTTTTCTGCTCGCACGCGCCCCCTAGCGGGCACGCACGGGCAGAAAGGACCCGACCGTTGCACACACCCGTTACCGGGTGTTTCACATATAGGCGATCAGCGGGTCCATAGCCCGCCGATCGCCTATATGTGCTTTTTTAAAAAAAATTCGGTAATTTTTCCTTAATATAGTAAAAAAATAAAACCCCCAGTGGTGAATAAATACCACCAAAAGAAAGCTCTATCTGTCCCCAAAAAAGGGTATAAAATTCATTTCAGTACAGCGCTGCATGACAGAATAAATGTCAGTCAAAGTACCGCAGCGCTGAATACTGAAAAATGGCCTGGATGGGAAGGGGGTTTAACACCGCGGATGTCAACTGGTTAAATAAAACAAAATGGATATTCTGCTTAAATAAATTAGCCACTTGACTAATATAGATTGACTATTTAGCAGCACCCTGAAATCCCCCAGAACTGAAGTTCAGCTAGATATTTGGTATTTCTACCTACACTGGCTGACTACTGGCCCATTGGAATAAATAAACGAGGAGCCTTACTGAAGAAAAAGGAGCCATGGGAGATGGGACGGGAGAATAGCAGAGCACAACCTTGCTTCTTAATAAGTTGGGATTTAAACCAGAGTATATGGGGTTTTGGGGTCAGGTGCTGATTGGCTGATACCTTTCCTAGTTCTCATCATGGACAATGTAATTCTTTGTGCTGCTAAACAAGGTATGAGATACTAATATTACTGCTGAATTAAAACATCGAGGGTGAACCACAATAAGATATTACAAAGACACATCACATTTTATTACAAGAGAATTCAGAACAAAATAACTGATACAGTCCATTCATTTCCCGAGTTTGAGCCAATTGTTAAGCAGCACCATGTAGAAGAACAGAAAACTAAACTCGATAGAACCAATAAGAATACATATTAGCAGCTGTATAAACCTTGCTTTCCTGCAGCTTTTGGGGAACTACAAGACTCATCATATCCTACCAAACCTGTACTTGAAAATCTGAAGAACTATTGATGTCCCCAGTTCTTCTCAAACATTCTAGTAGGGAGCAGGCACTTTAAAGAGACCTTGTCACTTTACCTATTCAGGGCAAAGTGTCAGTGTCTGCAGTTAACCCTTCCTCCTAAGCACTTATACTTACTGAGTCACGCTCAGACACTGCCATAGCCCATACTAATGGAATTGGGCTTTTTGGCAAGAGGAAGCATATAACCTTTTATCATGCAACAGTGCTATGGCCTGAGTGCTTAGATGCTGCAGATGAGAGGTGTTGAGGGAACGTGGGTGGATAACTATACATGCCTGGGGATGGGGACATGGTCTGTGCGCAGACACTGACACTTCAATTTGACCCGATTGGACAACTAGGCAGTGTTTCTTTAAATAATAGGACTGCCGTATTGATCACTATACTTATCATAATACGTTTTTCTTATGATTTAACTGATGCATCATGAGCAATTGTCCTAAAGTCAGCACCCACGGCATCTGAGACACTGGAAAATCCTTGCTCACTGTGGAGAGAACAAAAGAAATCAGTGACAAAGATATGCGGAAGTTGTCTACCTTTGCTAAATGTTTCCAAAATTTTCCCAATGGGATTTCATAACTTACATAAGCAATTGCTCCAGTTCCCGTGCCACTTTTCCTACAACAGGGGGTCCTTGGTATGTGAGGGCAGTGTACAGCTGGACCAGAGAAGCACCTGCACGGATCTTCTGAAGAGCATCCAACCCACAACTGATACCTCCTACTCCAATAATGGGGACCTTGCCTGAGAAAGAAAGGTATAATGGGACAGTAAGGAAGAGATTACGGATGTCCGAGGTCCACATGTCATCTCAATAGCTTCCTGTGCCAAGTGTTTCACATAAAAACAGTCTGTTACTTAGAGCAAACAATCAACCCTCTTATCGTTAACATAAAGCTATCAGAACAAATCCTCAAACCCACCTACCGCCATTCGGTGCCTATACCTATGTTTTATGCAGCTCTGATCACCATTTTCTAAAAAATCCAGTACTTCTGGGTATGGGGGACGTATGCAACACATTACCTGCCTTCCCACAATGTATCACTGGGGCCTGACGCCCAGTCACCAGCGCTGGGGGAAGGGGATGCCCCAATTAGTGTGTATTTGGTGGCAATACTAGGTGTTATTGTCTATTGCCAGTGACTTTGCGGGTGAGATAGCAAGAATCTGAGCGATGAGGGAGTAGTGGTAAAAGTATTGTACTGGAGGGTGCCTAGGACAGGGTTTGGGGATTTTACTTTTTTTTATAGTGTTACTTTAACCTTGTGCTTCCAAAAAAAAAAAAAAATCAAACCATAGACAGTTCTTCTTTAAAACACATTAGGTAAATGAAGGCCAAATTCTCAGTTAATCTCACCTGAAGTCAGTGCGTACATCTCTCTCACTGTCTCCGTTGCCATGTCTCGAAGTGGAACTCCACTCAGCCCGCCCACCTCGCAACTCTGGGGGTCCTTGAGGGTACTGGGGCGACTGACTGTAGTGTTGGCGACAATCAAACCGTCAATACCTAGCTGAGGGCAGCAACAATAAAGCAATATTAAAATAAGCTGCCTAGAGATGCACCTTTAAACATTTAAGATGACAGAAACATAACCATTTGTAACTAAATAAAAAAGAAACACCGTATTTTTTTTTACGCTTACTACTATAGATATATCAGCATCGTACCTCTGTAACAACACTGGCAATGTCTTGCTTATCACGCAGAGAAAGATCTGGTGCGATCTTCACCAGTAACGCCGGCCTGTGGTCAGGGGGCAAGGCATTCCGAGCACTCACCACCTAGAGGGGAAATAAAGGACTAAACTCAAATTAAATACATTGACAACATTTTTTACAAGGGAACATCAACATTTACACACCTTGGCCAGCAGGTGGTGCAGTTGTTCTTTGCCTTGAAGGTCCCTAAGACCGGGAGTATTGGGACTGGATACATTGATGACAAGATAATCAGCAAGAGGGCCCAGTTCTCGCACTCCTTTTGTGTAATCCGCAGCTGCATCTTCTGACGTCTTGTTTTTTCCAAGATTTATTCCAAGCGGCATTCCCTCTAAAAGAAAGAGGGCACATACCAAGACTGTGTCGAAACATTGTGAAACCACAGTTCGATCCCTCAAACTCAAAAGTTTTTTTTTCTTTTTAATCATTTTGCATATATCTACTGCTTACTAGCAGTAGATATATGCAAAAATATGCGAGGGTTTAATAACCCTTTAACTTTAAAGATGAACACTAGAGACCTGCAGCTTGTCCCTAATGAGCCCCAAGGCTGTGATTAGACAGTGAAGGAGAAGCTGCAGACTGATGAGAGCATCTTTCTATTCTCTCTACCTATACGCATCTTTAAACTGTTGACTGACATCGCTGTGCAAAGCAACAAAGCTCTGAATGGCACAGAGTGCAGAGGTACAGGGGTTTACTGGAGGCTATCAGGACAGATTTGGGAGGGGGGGTGATGATTCACCCCACCATTTATAATCAGTGATTCACGCCAAATGGATAATAATGAACCTCAAATCTCTAACGTGACAGCAGCAGTAATAGAACGGGACGGTTAATGTTGCAATCCCTTAAGTGATTAAATGAAAAAATGTGCACAGCGCTATCTGTCCAATAAATTAATGTGTATATTGTATTCAAAATTAATATTAAAATCACTAAATACCATTCATTAATATGGAATACATTTTTTACACATGATTTATTATTAATTTTGAATACAATATACACATTAATTAATTTATTGGACAGAAAGCATGGTTCACATTTTTTCATCACCCTCACCATTTGTCCTTGAGACCTCCATTACCGGGGTAGAAAGTCATGGGAAATGTAAAATTTTAGGAGGCGGGGGGAAGCTTGCAATGGTGACACCTCTTCTCTTGTCAACTGTCTTTGAAGGGATTTACCCTCATTTCTGACAGAGGTCCCTACTGAATAAAAAAGGAAGGAGGGGGGTTAGATATACTTTAATGATTAAACGGATACTTAAGGAGAACTATGGGGTCAGGGCTTTTCCCCATAGTTCTCCTTAGGGTAACGGGAGGACACAAACTAGCGTCCTCCCGTCACCGTAAGCTCAGTAGGTATACTGAAACGCCGCAGCCGGAGCGGATCCCGACATCGATGTCGAGATCCGCCCAGCTGCGTGAGTGAGAGCTGGCTCTCCCTATCTAGAGGCAGAGCCAGCTGTACCCGCCCCCTCCCCCGTCCGTTCCGCCAGTCAGCGCTGGTGGATCGGAGCGGGGAGGGGGGAATCCAGCCCCTCCCCTGTCACGGCAGAGAGCCGTGACAGGATCGAGAAGTGAGCGATCTACTGAGCCGACCTGTGACAGTCTCATTGTCACAGGTCGGCTAGAACTATGAGGTGAGTGAAAAGCACGCACCTCATAGTTCTCCTTTAATGGATAAAACTGTATTTTATCAGTAAAAAAATATGTTTCTTCCTCATTTAAAGAAAAACTGTCACTAAGCCCATTCAGGTACAGATATTTGAAAGTGTGGAAAGAATGCTCTGGACCCTTGTGGTTCTTCTCTTGGTGTTTCTCATCCAGCAGTAGATAAGTAATGTGAATATGGGTGATCTGGCTAATGTGTAGACAGCTGCCGCAAACCCAAAAGGATCTCCTAAGTATTCTGGCCATGACAGTGTACAAAGCAGATGTAGGAATTAAAGTGCCGCACCAAGTAAAATAGTCCAGGTACAACTTTATTCCATTAGGGTCAGGGGACATTCAAGTAGAGTAGGCAATGCATTTCAAGGGCCCAAAAAACACCTCCATCAGGGCTTGATGAAGGTAATAGGAATAGTTCAGACTTGTCAGAAGCTGGTGATTTGCTGCCAAACCAGCTGCTGACAAGCCTGAAGTACTCCCATCACAACACAACTTTTAGGCTGCAGGGATTGTAATGCACATACATGATTTGCCATGATGAGCCCCGATGAAGGCGGTGTGTTGTGGACACCTGAAATACACTGGCTACTTTACTTGAATGTTCCCTGATCCTAAGTGAAAAAAGCTGTGTCTGGACTTTTTTTAAACGGTGTGGTGCTTTAATTCCTACATCTACCTGTACTTCTGCCATCCAGGACAGTACCTGCACATAGCCCCACCTATAAGTATATTTACTTAACATACATAAGATCCCTTGCCACCTCCCCGTACTGCCAGAGCAGTACTTAGTGAGGGCTCTAGCTGGTTATACTTTAACATAAGATAAAGCTTTTATAGGCCAGGTTATCAATTAGTAATGATCATCCCCTTATCGGTGAAAGAAAAAGGTCCAAAATATGTTGATGTCTCCTTACCAGATGTGAGTTTCTTCTGCTTCTCTGTCCTACTGAGGAGTCTCTGGCGAACAGCCTCTATTCCATGACTGTTAAACCCATATCTGGATATGAAAAAATACATTGTACTATGTAATGAGGCCGTACACCTTTATCACCAACAGGTCACTGTTTTTATTTTTTAAAGGGAAGTATATTGTTATTGATATTTATTCACTCTAAAAAGTACCATTGCCCCTTTAAAAAAAAAAAACTTTTCCGTCAAAGTTGATAATTAGATTCAAACTTGCGTTAAAGTCTGAAGGTGACTAGTTATAAAAGGAAGTAGAGAGAGAGTAGAAGTTACACAGCACAGGGTTCAGGAGGAGCACTCCTACTAACTCTGTAACGTGTCCATGGGATTCTTGTTGCAATGGATTACAAGTGACTTACAGGGTTATTCACAAAAGGTTGAAGAGTTTGGAGAAGGCCGCAGAAGTGAACAATCTAGGACAACATCGCTGAACTGGAAGAATTCCCCAATTCAGCTCACTTTCCAGTTCATCTATGTTGTCCTAGATCAGTGGTGGCGAACCTTGGCACTCCAGCTGTTTTGGAACTACAAGTCCCATGAGGCATTGCAAGGCTCTGACAGCCACAGACATAACTCCCAGAGGCAGATGCATGTTGGGATTTGTAGTTTTGGCACAGCTGGAGTGCCAAGGTTCGCCATCACTGTCCTAGATTGTTCACTTCTCCGGCCTTCTCCAAACTCTTCAACCTTTTGTGGCTAACCCTGTTAGATTCAAGCAGATCATCAGTGGATCATTGACACCCTGGCCCCAAAAGAAGTAGGTTGGGTGATGCTGGGCATCAATCAACCAGGAAGTAGAACAGCACTGGACATTGGAGTGGTAAGATTGTGGGGACAGCAATGGGGGTAAGTTAAGTATTACAGTGCAAGCTGCTTTCTTTTTATGTATAAAAGGTGGAAGGCACTGTATTTAAAAAAACTTCTACGGTAAATTGTGTGAACTTCCTTATTTTAGCACAGTCATTGGGCTCACCCATTGAATAACTAAATGCGCCGAGATTGGTACATTTAGTTATTCATTTTTCACGTATACACACTCACAGTGGATGTACATTCTAGTGCCTTGTAGCTGTTAGTTTGCTTATTGGGGCAGTTCTCATATATGTATGTACCGTATTTGCCGGCGTATAAGACGACTCCTTACTTTTTGTGTTAAAATATAGGTTTTGGGCTATACTCGTCGATTCCCATCCTGAGGATTGGGTGTGACACTTCCGATCTCTACAAAGCCAAAGCCGATTTTGAAGAGCCCGTCAACAGCCTCTGCGTGTTTGTCAAAGCCGGCAGCTAACCCCACTGGGTTCCTGAACCTGCAACCTAAAACATTCACCTCCTGGAGAAATAAAATTTCAGTAAGATAAAAAGGAAAAAGGAGGAGAGGTACTGTATGTATAAAGTGATTTTCAAAACAACCACAAAAAAGGGAGGTAGGATGGGGTAGTGTTAAAACCTGAAACTGGGCTTAAAGTTTTCTAGTTAATGGGTCCAAGAGTCACGAGAGATAATGGGGGCTGCCATTGCGGAGCTTCCTTTTGAGGATCCTAGTTCCCTGGCTGTCAGGGTCATTTGTACCACTGATCCAGAACATGTACAGGGAAAAGGAATTCAGACACTCATTTACAGCATGCTTATTCCAGGCAATCAGTATAATAAAGAAACAAAAAAAAAGGCAAGCAATGCAACCCCCATACCGCTCTCATGATAGAATCACTTCCACTTAAAGTAACATTAAACCCTCAGATTTTTTAACATAAAACAATACTGTAATGTGCGCCTTACTGTAATCCATGGTAGTTTCCCTTCTCTTTGCTGCTCTTCCTTTTAAATCTATCTGTTCTCATGCTCTGCAGAACTTCTGTTTTGCAGCAGACTGCCTTGTCTCAGGAATGTATACACGGTGTCTGTGTATCCGTTTGTAATCTGAGCCAGCACTACAGGAAGAGGCCCTGAGCTGAAAAGGGAAGTTCTGCAGAGCATGAGAAGACATGCGGATTTAAAAGGAAGAGCAGCAAAGAGAAGGGAAACTACCATGGATTACAGTAAGGCGCACATTGCAGTATTCTTTTATGTTAAAAAATCTGAGGGTTTAATGTCACTTTAACTGTTCCCCTCTCCTACAGCACATACTCCCTTTCCCTTCTCTGTCCTGCTGCTGCCTAGCCGTTGGAGATGAAGAGAAGAAGCCCTGTGTAGGGTTGATGTCACAACTTGGAGCTTACACACAGCGGATGACTCTCTCCCCATCCCATGTGACAGCACTGGGTGTCTGAGCATGTAAACACTAAGCCCCAGCACTGTCACATGGCAGTAAAGGCAACGTGCTACCCAAATGTACTAAGTATCGCTCTTTGTTCCCAGGTGCTAAACACAACACCGGGAAATAATAAGAAAGGGAATGTGCGCTGCCAAGAAGGTGGAGAGCCGAGTGAAGCTATTGCTTTGCCCTGCGCGGGAATCATTTTGGATAGGGTAGGCTCTTTATAATACCATATGTACAATATTCCTAAGCCAGTACCTACCAGACTTCGTGACTTGGGCTGTGTGCACCTTGGGAGCAGCCCCAGTGCTGCAAACCTTATAGACAAAGTGTGTGCCTGCTCGGGGGATATTATCCTCTGCAACGTTGGCAATAATCGTTCTGCGTAGAAACGCTCGTCACCTTTGACGGTAAGGTAAGAGGAAAATAGGAGCCCTCCGCCACAAAGTATGATGGCCGCATCCTTCAACTGACGCTGAAACAAAATGAAATAAAATGCATGGAGCAAATGACAGAAGTCAACTGATTCACAGAGGTTAGAGGACACGTTCACCTTTAGTGAATCAGACCTTTATTATAATAGCCCCCCTCCCTTCCCTCTAGAGAGAAGGCAGCCTGGGCTTATACTTACCCTTTAGCCCTGATCCAAGAATCTTACCACCGGCATTGATCGGCCGGCTCCTCTTTATTCTGCGCATGTGCATCGTGACACCATTTATTTCTATGGGTAGCTATACTGGTGTCCTCCAGCAGTGTTTCGAAGTACCACTTTCCCCATAGCAATGAATACGTTCATGGGGCACGGATGTAGAATGAACAGGAGCAGGCCGGGTCAATGTCAGCAGTAAGATCGCAGGATTAGGGCTGAAGAGAAGTAAAAGCCAAGACTGCCTGCACTCAGGGGGGGGTTTCCATTTGCTGTCCTGTGCTAAAAAAAAGTAGCTTTTGTCGCAGAGCTGCACGTGGCACGAGCCTTCTGGATTGAATGACAGCAAGCATTGCTCAGACCACTTCCGGTGAGCCTAGGCCGTCATAGACTCGCCCCCTTGGTGGATATCATCATGCAGCCCAGGCTCACAGCACTCCTGGACCAAGGGACACACACGTCATTAAAGAAGTGCAGCTCCAGGAGAAAGGACCACCCACCACCACTGTTGAAAAAGGCTGCTCTATGCTGGCCACTAACCCTCCTGCATTTAAAGGAGAACTATGAGGTGAGTGATTTTCACTCAGCCTCATAATCTGAGCCGACCTGTGACAATGAGACTGTCACAGGTCGGCTCAGTAGATCGGGAAGTGAGTGAACACATACCAGCGCTCGCTCACCTCTCGATCCTGTCCCTGCAGAGAGCCATGACAGGGGAGGGACTGGGTTCCCCCCTCCCCGATCCTCCAGCGCTGACTGGCGGAACGGACGGGGGAGGAGGCGGGTACAGGTGGCTCTGGCTCTAGGTTGGCAGAGCCAGCTGTCACTCACGCAGCTGGGTGGATCCAGACATAATTGTCGAGATCCGTTCTGATTATACAAAACTAGCGTCCTCCCGTTACCCTTAGGAGAACTATGGGGAAAAGCCCTAACCCCATAGTTCTCCTTTAAGATGCCAGTGATGAAGATCCAGCACCAAATCTACTGTTTTGCTGATCGCAGCCAATGTAATCAAATGCCTACTGATCTGCCGGTATGATTATTGGAAGCAAACCCCCACACACAATGAAGGACATTATAACTCCCCTCAGATTGTGGGAGCTGAACAGAGGACACCAACCCTTTCCCGCAGCCCCAAGGGTATCTCTACAAATTCTCATATCCAGAAAGTAAAATTGTTCCAAAATCCAGCTGCAAGGCACATCTTAATGCCATCACAATTGCCTGCCTCATAGGCATGCTGGGACTTGTAGTTCCTGTGAAGTCAGTAAGCCTATCAGTATGAAATATCACACAAGAATAAAGGAAAACCAGATCTGCCGGCTCATGATATATGACAAGTGCTACAATGTGAGCTTGCTAAGGAGCCATTGACGGCGGTGCAGCATAAAACATTTGATTACCTTCACGTGGGCTCCCAGCATTTTCACTTCCTGCATCCATACTGTGGTTGGCATTGGTCACGTGACCTGATATCAGTGAGCGAGCAGCCATGATTGATGTGGGAAAAACAACGACTTTCCCAAAGTGGGTCCTGAACACAATAGGTTAAGATTGTATGTCCTTATAGGGAAAAACCAGCAAAGTTAATGGTGGCTGAGCAGGAACCTGACAAATCTACAATTTCCTCATGAGTTGCAGAGGATTTCCTGGCTTGCGATGATTGCCCAGACATTCGCCCCGCCCCTTCCTGCTTCTGATGACGGCTCTTCTCACGAGATCTGGAATGTGGCCCCGAGCTGTAATGACAGTTGGTGATGTCAGTGTTGTTCTAAGGCCATGCTGGAAGCTGACACCTGAGACATTGCCGGCCGGGACGAGGCCCTCTGGTACCGGAGTGCGCCCCCCTCCAGCCACAAATTGAAAACATTTATAATTAAAAAAAGCTGAATTAAGGGGTTAATAAAACTAAATAAATTAGGGCCCATTCACACCATATCGACGCCTGAGGCTCCTTTCACACTTTAGCGGTTTTCTGTGCGTATTCGTCAGTGCAGAAACGCGCACAACATCAAAAATAATACGTTCCAATTTAGCCTGTTCACACCTGTGCAGCGGCATGAAAACACGCATTGCACAAAAGAGCCCTAGTGCGATTTTCCTGGGAGACTTCCGTGCGTTCCAGCTATAGTAGTAGCCGCAAATGTGCGGAAACCACCCGTATGTTAAAATGCACGCGTTTTCATGCCACAGGGACTAACGCGTTTAAAACTGCGCTGAATTTCAAACCTCTACATGTGAACAGAGCCTTATTTGCACAGAATTGGATCGTGTTAATGCACAGCACACACGGTACCGCTCGCCTGGTGTTATTTGATTTGCACCCCCAATTGCGTGCATTGCAGTGCAGCACGGTAAAATAATAATACATGCATGACTTTCTTTTTTCGATGGGAGGTGGGTTGGGGTGCCGTTGAAATGAATGCGCACCTAGTATGTGCCGTGCTGTTGCGATATTGCACACTAAACGCAGGGATCCGCAGCGCATTGCGCTAAGTTCACTGCACGCATGGGTGCACATTTTTACTGCCTATTGCTATCCTGCAGTGGATTTTTTTATTTTTTAAGCAACGTTTTTATCTTTTGTGCATTGCGTTTGTGTGTGTTGGTGCATGCCTGTGCGCGTTACGTTGTGCTGCATGTGCCTTGCGCTGAAAACAAGTTGAGTATGCTCTACTTAGGGAGCTGATTAGGCTTCCCTAGGGTAAAATGTTGATTTTATGTCATTTCATCCCCTTCTGTTTACACATAGCAGTGAATTATAAATGAAAGCTTCACCACAAATGCATGGTCAGCTTCATGCTGTATTCTGCGTTTCCTGCACAAGACCCCGGAGGGAGGTGATCCTGGAACATGGAAGAGACGTTGCTGCATTGTTCATTGTAAACTGTACTCCTGCCACACCCGGGGGTTCGGTATCAGCGATCTCCCTTCTCCCGACCAAACCCCGACACTCCCCCCTCCAACCGTTCTCCCAGCCACCAAGCTGCGGGCCGTTTCCCTGGCAACAAGGCCACGCTTCCTCTCTACCAACCTTCAATGGATGTTGCCTGATTGGCTTCTATGCATGCTGCCCACCAGCTGCCTAGCCATACTGTATTTACCTCGGTCGCTCCTACCCAATGGGATGAAACCAATGAGAGAAGCTGTTTCCTAGGCAACTGCAATCGCACCCAAGGGACTGGAGGAGGAATCCGGTGATTGGTTGTTGCAGCCAGGGAGTGGGCGGGACGCTCTTTGTGGTTGGAGAGGCGGCTCGTCAGTCTGAGGCAGCCTGCTGCTCGGTAAGTTAGGATGCGCTGGGATGAGGGAAGCGAGTAGGTGAGCGATGGGAGATACTGACTGCAGCCATGGTGAGACCTCCAGTAATATGTCTGTGTTTATATATATGATATACGTGATTGTGGGTGACATTCTGTACTGCATATACTCTGCCATGTTACTGAAGTCCCCTCTGCGGGCTGTATCATTTACATGTACTGGTCTTACCAAACTCAATATTCACTATGGAATAAGCATGTTGGCAGTGAAGAGTTGGACCCGGCTCATATTGGGGACCTCTCCGCTCACCAGGGCCGGCCTTAGGTCTTTAGGCGCCCTGTGCGAGAAAGCTTTACAGCGCCCCTCAGTGACCACACCCCTCAGTGGCCACACCCTTTAGTGACCACACCCCTAGTAACTACACCCATTTATTACCCATATTTTTGGTAAAATATAAAAAGCGGGGTCACGTCGGGTAAATAGACACCAAACATGTCATGCTTTAAAATTGCGCGCACCCGCGAAATCGAAAAAAACTACCATGCCCAAAATTGACCATAGGTGACGCTTTAAAAGCTTTTACCGCTCATCAGTTTAGTGTTATCAGTGATTGATAGCCCTACAATTATTGCTCTCATTCCGACGGCGATATGTAACTTGTGCGGCGTAATGGGCGAAATCGTCGTTTTCACACGTATGAGCACCCGACGCCTGTTTGCATGCGTGTATGTATGGGGGGGACTTTAAAAAAATGTTTTATTCTTTTTTATTTGTAACTT